GTGCATTAGTGTTTGTTTCACATCTTTCGATCAATCACTAATGCAAATGTATATCGTATGAACTTCTATCTAATTCTATATAATGAATAAATAAAAATGACAAGAATTAATAGAAAAAATTCTTTTATTATAATCAATGCAATAACATAATAAGTCAAACTCATCCAAAAAGATTGGATCTTAAGCACCTACACTAATAGTCAATCCTTAAAAAATTTAAAAGACTCACTAACTTGACCTAAAGCTCATATTTAAATTAAAAAAAGATATTCTTTTTATAATTACAAATCAAACTTGATATGAGACCATCATCACTCCTTAGAACTTAGGAGATTTAATGATCTCACATCTAGCAAGATAAATCTTAATTCAATAATTAACATATAAAATAACCATAAGCCGAATATAGAAGAAAATAATGAAATAAATACTAAATGGAATCCACATTCAACAAAAATTTTGCAAAAAATCATCAACACACACACATACAAATGAATCTCATGCCAAAATCATTACCAGAACTAACCTAAAATAATTAATTAATTGAAACGAGACCCTTAAAAGGAATTACAATTGTGATAGAAAAATAAAACAATTACAAACAAATACCAAACAATATCAACAAATTATGAAATTTAATATATAAATTAGGATAAAAGTGTATTGATCACATAAAATTTCATCAAAAAAAAAAATCAAAATGTGGGTTAAACATATAGAAAAAAAAATGAAAAAGTCCCTACATATATAATGTTTACGAAAGTAACTAAAATAAATTCGAGATAATATACTAAATGACCTCTTAAAATTCTAAAATTTAAAACATAGATCAAAAATAGACATATGTAAAACATATAAAAAAATTTATCCAAAAATAAAATCAAAATCTAGGCTAAATAGATGAAAAAAACAAAACAAAACAAAATCGTTTCTAAAAATACAATATTTATGGTAATAATTTAAATAAATCCATGTAAAATACCAAAAGACCTCTTAAATTATATAATTTATAAAATAGATCAAGGATAGATGCATGTTGAACATATAAAAATTTTAGCGAGAAAATAAAATCAAAATATGGGCTGAATAAATGGAAAACCGAAACAGACTTCCCTAAAATTACGACATATATGACAATAATGAAAATAAATCTAAATAAAATACCAAATGATCTTTTAAAATTTAAAAATCTAGATCAAGAACAAACTTATGTTAAATATATGAAAAGAACATATATAAGTAAAATTAAAATTTTGGATAAAGCGATGGAAAAGCTGAAATAGCGACTTTTAAAACAACAACAACATAATGACGAGTAATGAAAATAAATTTAGATAAAATATCAAATGACTCGTTAAAATTCTAAATTTTAAAAATAGATCAAGAACATATATATGTTGAATATTTAAAAATTTTAGAAGAAAAAGCCAAGTATATAAACTACAAAACACTAAAAACTAAGTCCCATACTATTTAACAAAAGTTAGCTCAAAAGCAACTATTTAGACATAAAGTTAACTTGTGAAGGGACCGACCTTTAAAAAAGTAGAACTGAAAAAGGCAACGGTGATGGTTATGGATTGAGGAGAAAAACTTGTGCAAAGTAGTAACTCCGAAATGAAAAAATCTTTCCAAGCTACTTTGTTTTTTTTTTTTTTTTAACCCAAAAACTAAGCTAATCTTTCTCTAATTTTTTTCTTCTAGAATTGGATTTTCTTCTTTTTTTTTTTTTTTGGACGAGTCCGGAGATGCTTTATATAGGCTCGGATAAACCATGCTTTCCTACTTTCTTTCCTTCCTTTATCTCTTGGTTTCTTTTCTATTCTTTCCTTTTCATCCTATTATTTGGAAATCTTTTTACATACCCTCTTTTACGGATCAAGTCTTGTTTTACCTAGAGGATGAAGAGGTGTTGTTTCCTTCATGAATTCAAGCATGAGAGAGACGAGAAGGGGTTGCATTCATGCCATCTTTTCTTGTTATTTTGCTTATTTTTTGGCTTCTTCCATGGCTATTTTTCTCTTGTTTTTCGAGGCAAGGAGAAGGAGCTAACAATCTAAACTTCACTTTTGACATGATGGGAAGAGTGTGGGAGAGATTGGGCTGTCCGTTCTCCATCAAAATGGGGAAAATGTTGGTCGAAGTGGGAGAAAAAAAGGAGAAAGAAAGAAAGAGAGGAAAAAAAGATGGGGCGAAAAAAAAAGGAAAGAAGTGGCGGATAAAAACCATGCATATTTCGCTTATGCACTTCCTTTTTTAAAAAAAAAACATACTTCAATTTTGGCACTTCTTCACATTTAGTCCTCATTTCTTTTCAATTTCTTCTAATTACACTCCTTAATTTTCAAATTCTCTTATTTTTCTCAATCTCAGGCTTTCCTTCTTCCTAGTTCGTTCAATTATATCCCTATTAACCTTAATTCCTAACCCTTTTTTTTAGATCTTTCAATTGGCTCCAAATTAATTAATTTTCCCTTTTCTTTTTCTATTTTTCTTATTTATTTTGCTATTTTTTTCTTTTCTTTTATATTATTATTTTTTCTTTTCTTTTTTTACAATAATAACAAAACTAATAAGAGGAGAATTAATTTGTAATTAGAGGAAGTCCATGTTATGCCCCTAACCAAGAATATTTATAGAAATAACTAAAAACCATAGAAAAATCAAGAAATTATAATACATGCAATTTTTTTTTAGTTTTCAAAATTTTGCATAAAAATAAAAATGCATAGGGGATAAAAAATGGATTATAACAAGAATATAGTGTATGAACAATAGTATTAGAACGAGAACCTCAAATTAAATTCTAAGTAAAATTTTGATTATTGGAAAATGGTAATTGATTTTGTCTTCGATATTGGGTTGAACGATGTTGAAATTCCCCATGTGGTCTAGGCCCTTTCTTCCTAAAGGGCTAAGGTTTTTTAATTAGAAGATTGCATATAAAAGCCATGTGAGCATGTGTTTCAAAAATTTGGTGTTTGCCATGATCTTGAGAAAGTTATAGTTCATATGTAAGAAGACAGGCTCTAAGTTAGGTAAACTTTTTAAGTGAATGTCTGTTTACAATAATAGTGATATATGGTTCATATTCGGTACTTAATCCATTCGAGTGCATGTTGGATAAGGTTAAAATCACTCACACATTCATTAATGATTGCAAGAGAGTCATAGAGTGTTTTGATTTTTCAAAGATACTCGGTGATGATGCTTGTAACCTTTTCAATTTCATGAAGTTGTTGGTGAAGATATAATTTTCTAGCAATCGATTATTGTTAGAAAAGTTCTTCTATGTTGTCCCATACCTTTTCTATAGTTTTCAAACCAAAAACCCGAATAGAAACATACTCGATCAGTATGGTATTAGTGCATGCCTTGATAAAATAGTCCAACTTTTGTCATTTGTTGTACTTTAAATTTGTTTTTTCAACTTATGATGAAGATGATTGAGTCATTCTAGAAAGAGCTAATATTGAACTATCAATATAACCAATCAAATATATACCAATAAGAATTGATTCAAGTTGATCTCGCCATAATAAATAGTTGTTTCCATCTAATTTAATTGAAACCAAGTGGGTAATGTTTGTGATAGGAAGTGTATTATTTGAAAATAATACAAACATTGTTGTAAATATGAAGAATTTGTTTAGTTTGGTATTAAAAGTGGTTGTATTTGTTTAAAAGGCACGAAATTGTTTGGGGGGGGGGGTGTGGTATTTTAAGCTTGTGATATGATAAAAAATTAGATTGTTGAATATGCACTCCTTACCTTTTTCAAATGCTGAAAATATTATATTTATACATTTAAAATATAATAATTACAAATATATCATTGTTACTATTATGCTACAATTAATCAAAAAAATCATGTTCTTAACTTACACTTACTCTGTCTCAAGTAATTGTCTTTCTTTTTATTTATATCTATTCCAAAACGCTTGCCTAGTTAAAATTTTTAATATTATATTTTTGTAAAATACATGTATTTTATAATGCTTGATTAAGTTGAATAGATTTTCTTGTTAAACGAAAAAAATGCTATTTTAAAAAATTATTATTAAAAAAATACAAATATAGTATTATAATTAATAAGTTTTTTAAATTTTGCAAAAAGTCAAAAGAAACTATCGCCTCAGGGCAGAGGGAGTATAAACAGAATCTCAATCACATCTATAATTTTGTTTTGATTGAATTGATTTGGTTGAGTTTGATTTACTTTATTGATTTTAAAAAATAAATTTAATTTAATTATATGATGAAAAAAAGTATAAATTAAAAATATAATAATTTTTTTAATTTTGGATTTTGATTACTTATCCCTAGTAATATCTATAATTTAAAATTCTTGAAAAAACTTAAAAAATAAAATTTGATGATATTAACATTTTATTGTTATAAAATGTAAATGTTTTTCCTTATCAAAATTACTATTCTATTATAATATTTGTAGATTATTTTTTTTCCTAAAGGAGTGTTTTGTTCATACTGCAATTTAACTAATAGCCTTTTTTTTTTTTTTTTAAGTATGAGCGGAGTTTATCATAAGATATAAATCTTTCCATCTAATCTGAAGAATGATAATTGTTTAACCAGGCAGATTAGGGTGGGATGGACATGTGTCAGGACCATAAAATTACACTAACACCTATCACGTCGAGTTAAATTATCCCTTTATCCATCATTATAATACACTAGAATTAAGATAAATTACTTAAACGGCTAAATTATTTTTTACCTGCCCAACGGCGCAGAACGAAGGCTAGCCTTTTTTATTATTTATTTATTTATTATTTCATTTGTATTAGAAAGTTATTAATTGCTTTATCATATTAATATTTTTAATTTTTTATAATTGTATTTTTTTAACTAAGTTTAATTAAAAAAGTCACAATAATTTCCCACATCAAACCTCTAACCAGAAAAAAAAAAAAAAAAAATCTATATAAAGCCTAGCGAAAAAAGCAAACGAGAAGCAGAAAATCAGAGAGAGCAGGGGAATGGATTTGGAGACAGAGAGTCGATTGGTTCGCTTATGCATTGAAGCAGCGTGTGAAAGCAGAGAAAGCGTGGAAAAATGGAGGAAACAGCGACGGACTCTCGAGTCCATGCCTTCTCCTCTCGCCGACGCTCTTCTCCGCCGCCTCTTCCTCGGGCGCCTCGTCTTCCCTTCTCTTCTCGAGTAAATCACAGAACTTTACCTTTTTTTCTTATTGTTTCTACAATAATTCGATTTTTGGATCTTAATCTAGTTAACTAGCTTGCTAATAGAAAATTTAGGCTTAGAGACCCAATAATTAAGATTTAAAATATGATTATTTGTCTCTTTATAATAATCTAGGGTTGTGATTTGGAGTGATGATGATCCTAATGGAGTTTGTAATGCAATGTCATTGTTCAATCTCATGGAATTCTTGTGCGATTATTTAATTGAAGCCTATTCGAGATTTTTAGTGATCTAATGGACCTTGAATATTTACAAGCTGACCTGATGAAAATTGTATTTATTGAGATTTCTTGTATGCCGTGGTTTATTCTGAACGAGATTTGCGATCTTGTAGAGTTTTCAAACGTAGCGTGGAGGTGGTTGATCTTAAAGGTGAAAACAACGTGGATGCAGAGTGGATGGCGTACTTAGGAGCATTTCGTTACTTGCGCTCCTTGAACCTTGCGGATTGCCATAGAATCAATAATTCTGCCCTTTGGTCTCTTGTTGGTAGGTTGTCTTCTTCATAGCAGTGATGAAACGCTGTCTACTTTTTGCCAACTAATTGGAGTTGTTGAGGATTTTAATGTATTCTGTAATTATTGATTAGGGATGACTAGTTTAAAGGAGGTGGACATTTCAGGATGTAGCAAGGTTACTGATGCTGGCATTAGGTATCTTGTATCAATTTCAACTTTGCAAATACTACGGGTTTCAGAAACAGGTGTAACTGCTGATGGGATTAAACTTCTCTCCTCACTTACAAACTTGTCTGTTTTGGACTTGGGTGGTTTACCTGTCACCGATACAGCATTGAGTTCTCTCCAGGTAATCTTATTTTGATAACTTATGTTTATCTTTTGAATCATGTATTAATTGTATTTGAATGTTTCTGTTATCGATTTCCAATTACTTGATTATTTACATGCCCGTTCCCTCAATTTTTTGGCTAGTTGTAAAATGCATAACTAAGATTTGAATGCCTGGATCATTTAGTGTCCTATTGTTATTGTTGAGATATTTGAAGTTCATGCATGATCTCTTCTTCTTCTACTTCTTCTTCTTCTTCTTCTTCTTTTTAGGTTTCTATGTTTTATTGGTCAGTTATCCTGTGCTATGTGAGTTCGCAAGTTATTTACTTTCATGTTATTGTTCTTTTAGGTGTTGACAAAGCTAGAGTATGTTGACCTTTGGGGGAGTAACATATCTAACAAAGGGGTTACTGTTCTTCGAAAATTTCCCAAGTTGAGCTTTCTAAGTCTAGCCTGGACCAGTGTTACAAGATTGCCAAATTTGTCATCTCTTGAATGCTTAAATTTGAGTAACTGTACCATTAACGATGTACTTGAAGATAATGGGAAAAAAGCTTGTTTGACGAAGCTTATATGCTCTGGAGCTACATTCAGCAACGAGGCTAAGGCATTCTTGTATTTCGATACATGCTTCCTATCTTTTCTGGATTTATCCAATTCATCCCTCAATGGATTCTACTTCTTACATCATTTGAAAGCACTGGAATATTTGGATCTCAGCAGTAGCATGATAGTAGATGATTCGATTGAAGCAGTGGCAAGTATAGGAGCAAATTTGAGAAATTTAAATCTTAGCAAAACAAGAGTCACCTCTGCTGGGGTAGCAATTTTAGTTGGTCACGTTCCAAAGCTTGAGAATTTATCATTATCTCACACTCCAATAGATGATTTGACCATCTCATATATTGGCACAATGCCTTTGCTGAAGCATGTTGATTTAAACAATACAATCATCAAAGGTATGAATTCTTTCACACAGACACTGTTGTAATCTTTAAAAGAAATCTGTATCTAATATCAGCAAATGGCTTCAGAATTTGTAGCCGGCTGGATCATTTAGTAAGTGACTCGTTATAATTTGGCCATGTCTATCTAAAATTGCATGGGTATTATTTGTTTGGCGCTTCTAATGTTTCCTATTTTCAGGCTTCATTCACCAGGGTGGTGCTGAGCCAAATTTGATTCCCTCACTGACAGCACTACATAGCCTTAAAGGTTTGGAAAGTTTGAATTTAGAATGCGCCAACATCAATGATGCTGCTGTAGACCCCTTATCAAGCTTTAAAGAATTGAGGCTTTTATCTCTCAAAAGTCCTTCCCTTACAGACTTCTCCCTTCACCACTTATCATCTCTACCAAGTATAAGAAATCTACGCATTTGCGATGCTGTGCTGACCAATTCTGGGCTATTTTCGTTCAGACCACCAGCAACTCTTGAAATGCTAGACCTGAGGGGTTGTTGGCTCTTAACTGAGGATGCTCTCTTGTCATTTTGTAAAAGATATCCTCTAATCGAAGTAAGGCATGAACATGTGGTCTCTACATCAGATCAAACTGCCTGCCACCGACCGACTCCACCACGAACATTTTTAAGACCTTCACAAGTAAACCAGAAGCAGGGAAAGTTGCCTGTGTCTCAGTATTTTATAGGTAGGAATACTTGCTGCAATAGTTTCTGCTTGTAAGGCTTAAATCTATTTTCTAATTATTCTTCTTTTTTATTTTTTTCTCCCCTCTTGGAAGTAGATCAGAGACTGAAGTATACCAGAGAGGAGCTTCTCGCATTACAGTTTCAATCTTCATATCTCGGGCCTTCTTTTGACAAAAGTCTTGCTAAACCCAAGATGTAATTGGATTGAAAAGGTGGCTTAACTGACGTGCGTAATATTTTGTTGTTGTGACAATAACTGTACTCTATCATGGCAGAACATCTTCTCACCCATGTTTGTTAACTATAGGTGGTGGGATTTATTTCTTCTAATCGGGAGGCCGGTATATCAATTTTTGTAAACTGTAGTTTGCCGAACTGTTTTTGGGGATGTAATGAATTCTGTAATTTAGTTGAGCGAGAATGCTGTCTACTGCCGTGCTGTACAGACCAGTTGCATTGACAATTATCTTCCTGGAAAAGACCTTTGCTTTGATTTTGCTCCATCCAAAATTCTGAAACGTAAACGGACCACATTTGGTCTACCGATAAGAATGCCCTCAACTTCAAGCAAGAGAAAAGGAAGTACCCCGAGAACCATGGGAGAGAGACGAGTCCTGAGTCCTGTTCCAACCAGGAACTTGATATAGTATTGTAATTTATCTTTTTATCATTATAATATGATAATGCTGGTAGTTGGAATTAATATCTTCGTTCCATATGGGTTTTGTTTATTGTAAAATTTTGATTTAAACTTGAAAGAAAAAAAAAAGAAAGAAAAGAAAAAAAAAAAGAGGACCTTATCTACTTCTGTCTGCTGGCTGAATATAATTTTTTATGTCCTTTAGAAAATAATTCATCATTCATAACAAAAAAATACTATAATAATACATCATTTTGTAGAATGAACCAATCTAGGTATTAATAATGGTATGCGAGGGTGGAGAAGAAGCTAGTGAATTGGGTTAAACTAACTGGGAATTGCAAAGCCTGCAACTAAAGGCAATCCTGATCTAGCAAGTGCAAGCAGGTTGATTCTTGGGAGTGAGAGATGATGTCATGCCGCGTGGCTGTACGCTAACGTCAACGACTTGGTTTTTTCCCAAATTCACTATCTGATATTTATAGCTTATTTCTTTCATAGGCCGAATGAACTCCATTGGATTACAACTTTCTTAGATGATTTAGCCAAATGAAAACCTCCCTATCCATAAGATTTCTCCTCCTAAATAAATGGTTAGGATCAATTTGACTCAATAGCTACACTAAACTAGGTTGTGAAATGCTGCCTCCCTTGGTCTCAATTCTCAAGTCCGCATGGCTAGAGAGCACAGGAAAAAAAATTGGGATGTGATTAGGGCGGCCATTTACCATCCAGTCATTCCAAATTACGTCAAAGAACGGCGTTTAGGAAGTTTATATCCACATTCATTCACCGAAAACCAAAAAAAATCATTTGCCATTGTCATCCAAAGCAAAGGTGCTTCTCTTTCATACAAATTGCAACGTTTACAAATAGAAATAACTTACATGTACAATCACCAAAACAAAAAAAAATATGAGAACAAAAATGTAAATACTATCAACGGTCTTGCTGAACAGCAAAGTTACCAAGATCCATAAAGTAATTTCTTAGGCGCTGGGCTTGGTTGCACTCTTGTACATGTTGTCGATAACATTCTGTTTAAAGATTTTGGGTTAGTAACTTTCCACCACACAAATTTGCTATTGACCAACAAATGGACATAAAAGTGTAAAACTCAATGGTTCCTTATCAGATCGATGCATGGCCTAAACTAAACAGGATGGTGAGAACCAACATGTAGAACTAACAGCTATGGCCATGAGGTCAGTTAACAACCATGTTCCTTATCTTGCATTAGTAAAGGGGAAAATTCCTTTATGATTCACGTCATTGCCAATCCAAAATTCAGTTTACAAACTGAACTGAAGTTAGTGATATATTAGAAGGATACAAACAGGTGTAATTGAATCCCCTAAAATATAAAGAAGAGATACCTGGTAATATTTGAGAAGATGGGGCCTCTTTTTCTTGTATGTTGGAGTGATGAGATCACGCTCCAGGTCAAATGGCTCAGGATCGAGGTGGATAGCTTTTATAAGTTCAAAGCCCTTCAACTGCCAAAAGTAGTATTTAGGATCACAAAAATGTTCAATTAGCTGTTGAAGATCAAAACTATCTCTTTCAATAGTTTAACAAGAAAGATATGCTAAAAGCAAATTAAGCAGGAACCTTCTTTTCTTTCCCAATCTTGGTGAGCTCTCCCAGTATGTATTCTTTTGCCTTCGGATTTTCACAAAGGGATTTAAAATCCCCACTTATACCATGCTCTTGAGCCCAATGTTCAAGTGCTTGCTGATTGGGGTTGGCAACAGCAACAAGGTATGATTCAAAACTGTTCCCATAAACCCATATCTGAAATTGAAAAACAAAATGATTGCATAAGCAAACAATGCAATTCTTGAGCAGGAATTCAAAACTGAAGCAAATAGATAACTCTCTTGCCAGTAATAGACTAAACCTTCCACAAGATATAGGCAGTGTTATGAAATTAGTAATTACTTAGTGCCAACATGGAAAACAAACAATTCCTGTATTTCAGAAAGGGGCAAAGTCACAAAAAATTGAGATATTAGCTGGTCTACAGAAAATACAATGTCATTTTCAGCATATCAGTGCCAATTAAATAGAAAGCTAAGAACAGACGTAGTCATTAACAGTCACGACACTCAAAACCAGTATCATATACATGACATGCTCAGAAAAAATTATATCCCAAGTATCAGAAAGGCATACCGAATCAATATCAGATACAAGACTATAAATGTTCTCCAAGTTTTCAACAGCAACATATTCTCCTTGAGAGAGTTTGAATATATTCTTCTTGCGGTCAATAATTTTCATACTTCCATCAGGTTGCCATTCACCAATATCCCCTGATGCAAAGATCATCATGAAAATGGTAAGATTAAGGGAAAAAAAATAGTATAGGAATAAAAATATCAACAAAGGAATGGTAGAGGAAAACCTGTATGGAACCACCCATCAGTCAGGACCTCTTTAGTGAGGTCTTCGCGTTTGTAGTAACCTGCAAAAACGGTCTTCCCCCTAATACAAATTTCTCCACGTGGTGTGCTTGAAAGAGCATCATATCCCATCTCAGGAACAGATTCTAGGCAGACATCCACATTTGGTACGGGAGGGCCCACTGTGCCAAGCATTGGCAATTCATTTGGTAGTGAGACAAAAGTCCCAGCACAGGTTTCTGTCAGACCTGCATTCATTCAATTGCAAATATTTCAAGTCCTGGCAGCAGTAAATTATAACCACAAATAGCCTCAATGAGGAAAATGAAGATTTAGGACACAAGTATCGCTTGCATCAAATAATATGAAAAACACACCATATCCTTGCAGAACATGAGCACACGACACCACTCGCAGGAAAGCTTCTACATGGTTAGAAAGAGGTGCTGCTCCAGACAAAATAAGCCGCACCTTCCCCCCAACCCTTGCCTCACCTAGGTAAGACAGCCAATGAGAGTTGAGTAAGCATAATTTTACAACAATCATTATTACGAGGTTTGGAACTTGAGGCAATCAGGATGGAAGAATCACCACCTTATTAAAGACAATTTTGTCACAGATTGGAGATGCTTCCTCATGTGTAATCCCCTTCTTCATAGAACTAAATTTGCTGCAGCAAATAGTAAAAACAAAAATTTTAAACTTCAGTTATCATGTAGTCCCAATGAAGTTAAAAATGAGTATGAAATTCAAAAAGATAATCCTATCATGAAATGTTGTCCAAGAAAAGTACTAGAGTTTGTGGTATAAAACTTACTGTGAATATGCTAGATTGAATAATGTCTTCTTCAATAAGCCACCTGAAGTAACTTTCTGTTGCAAACCTGAAAATGAGCACAGCAGTTATGACAGTGGTATTGTGGGAGACACAATAACTACGCTTTCAATTTGTGATATAATGATATCGAATAAGAAAAAAAAATTCAAAGAATTAAATCATTTCCTTCCTCAATTGAACAAGTTGAAAATATTTAACAATTATGGAGCTCTATTGATTCATTCATTGAACATGCAAAAGAAACATCAGAGTGATAGCATTCCAAATACACCCAATCCAAGTTGGCTTAAGGTGCCTGCAACACCAAGACACAAAACAGAAGGTTGCTAATTTTAACACTAGGATACCTCTATTGTAATTGAATTTCACTACCATATGAATGATGAAGATGGCCAAATTTCAAGAATGCTTGGTTCGAAGAAAAAGTTTACCAGAATAAACTCTGTCTAAAACACGGGGCACGGCACAGAAAATAGTTGGTTTCAGCTCCCCAAGGTCCTCAATCAATAATTTTACGTCCTGCAAATTGTAACAAATAAACATTTGACCATATTGAATTCTTACTTAGTGGGGCTGAATAGTTTTACCATCCCAATCACCACCACAATTGGGGAAGCCTATTGCATCCTTTGCAATGGCAACATTCTCATCCAAACCAAAGGGAAAAGAACAAATAAAAAAATGCAAACAGGCTTACCCCTTGCCAAAACCCTATAGAGGCACCCTGTTGAATAAATAACTCCTCAATCACCCGATCAAATATATGAGCAAGAGGAAGGTATGAAATATATACATCCTTTGAAGTCAACTGCAAAATATTTAAAATATGAATAAGAGCCGAATAGATATGTTGGGTAGAAAAAAGGACCAAATTTATTAAGCTTTACACATCATAAAATTGATGTCATATCTTCATCTATGACATCCAGAATGTATGAGTGGAAAATTACTGATTCATTCACACTTTCTAGTAGCCGTTTCACTCCAGCTAAAAGAGTGACAATGTTGTCATTTGAAATCAGCACTCCCTTGGGATCACCAGTTGTTCCACTGGTATACATTATTGTACAGATATCCTCTTTCTTCTTCACTGGGAGTTCATATTGTTTATTCTCCCCCTGCAAGGAACATATAAAAAGGCCATTACTGATTGGTCTCATTTAAGCAACGATAAGAATCAATAAATATAAACAAACATTAAAAGCTAAGAAAGAAAAGCATCTTATCATGGTTAATGAACGCAAATGCACATCAGAGAAATATATTAATAAAGTATCAAATCAATCGAAAACTCTATCCATGCTTCATTGCTGCTTTTTATGAAACAATCAGCGAGATCCTAGAATTTCTTCTTGCAGTTTACAAATCAAGGAGATGACAATACAGTACTGATAGAGATACAATAGATTCTAAGCTCAGGCTTAAAGGTTGAGATACAATTCAGTATTGGTAATGAAGCATGCTTACTACCATACAGAGTTGGATACAATATCATTCTAAGCTCAGGCTTAAAGGTTGAGATACAATTCAGTATTGGTAATGAAGCATGCTTACTACCATACAGAGTTGGATACAATATCATTCACAAAATAACTTATCCGTGGATACATTTTCTAGCTCAAATCTTACTACTATTGGTGCAATAAATAAATAGGATAAGAGTGATTACGAAGAAAGACTAGGTTACCAGTTTTAAAAACTCATCCCAAGAATATGCTGCCAAACCAAATTTCTCAATCTCTTCTAGCTCTTTCGGAGCAATCTTGCCAAAGCTCACAATTGCTGCATAAGGAAATATAAAATAAAATGATTTGCTGGTAACACGGGGTAAAAATAAATAAATCTGTGAAGAAGATTAAATTACTTTGCAAGTGCTGGGTGGCATTAGGAAATGTTTTCAACAGCTGGGAGAACAGAGGAAAACACGGATTGGTGAGAACAATATCAGCACATAAGATTAAAATTCCTAAAGAAATTGTACACCAACAAAAATTGAACCTCTTGAATATCAATTTCAAGAAGACATGATGAAAAGCAATGTTGTCATAATGGAGTTTGGATGCAAGGACGTAAAACATATACCTCAGAAATCTTTTTCTCTTCTACAAAAGCAATTGAGACCTCTGAGTGGCATATAATAAATTCCACTGCACTGGCACCTAGAACATATTTTGAGAGAGGTAATCACTAATTGGCCTTGATTTAGAAAAGATATGCATGAAAATGCAGGTTACTCAATGATCGTTACATGCCAAATACATCTATGCAGAAGAAGACCATACCTAGCGTGTCATACAAAGGAACACAGTAGAGCCCATGAGCATTGCAGGCCTGCATCAGGCATTAATCAGAAACTTCACGAATAAGGCAAACCATACTAATGCAAAAACAATAGATTGAAAAGGCCAGCAAGTGACAAGGAAGCCCACCACACTAATCAAACAAAAAAATTTATCCAAAAATACAAACAAACAAATAAATACACAATCAAATAAAACTTTAAAGATGATTAGGTTCCGATTAGAAGGGCTTTAACATATTTCTGAGTCAAGTATTGAAAACCAACGACAATGCCTAGTTCCCTCACTCAACAATTAAAAAGTCTGTTGAACCACCACCTTTTTTCATGAGGAATATTTTGGAGAAATTCTCCAACATTATAAATAATCCAAATCCCATACAGTAAAAAAAAAATGCCTATGAATTAAATGGTGCAGAAACTTAGAAGAAAATTCAAGATGGCATATGATTGGTGCAGGGTAAAAAACTTAAGACTTCCCAATATATATATATATATATATATATATATATATACACGCACACGACCAACAAACCTATAAATTAAATGGTGCATGAACTTGGAAAAAAAATCAAAATGGAATATGATTGGTATATGGTAGAAACGGAAGAAAAATTCCCTAAAAAACAATATTTGACCAGCAAACTACCACAATCAAAGAATATATACTTAAAAAACAGTGCCAAAACTCATTATTCTTTCTTCAAGCTTTGTCCTTCATGAATTAAGAGGTTGTAATAACAGTTCTTTTTTTTTTTTTTTTTTAAGGGAATCAAACAGAAAAGGAGAGACTACCTCCATGCTCATAATCCATTCTGCACAATTAGCACCATAAATGCCACATTTAGAGCCCTAGAAACATCCAACAAAAATTTAAACATAAGTACAAAATCAATTTTGATTACAAAGATCAAAACTTTTTCTAAAAATATCAGTTCTAATGCTTCACCGGTTCAACACCGCAACTTCGAATTGAATTTCCAACTTTGATCACCACGTCATAAACTTGCTTGTAAGTTTGCCACACATATTCAGCAGCCTACAAATACAACAAATCCACAGTTTTTTTTTTAAGAAAAAAAAAAAAACCCACAAAAAGACATGGCAAGAAACAACAAAGCTATGGCTACCTTGCCATTCACAATCTCACGATGACCAAGCATTGGATTATTAGGATATTTCTCTACAGTCATCCTGCAAACAACACCACAAAATAATAATCACTCAATTAGCTAACTTAATTAAAAAAAATACCAAAGATTAAATATTAACCAGAGAAGAAAAGAAATCCATTTTCTCTCAAAACGAATCAAAGCATATACTCTGAACAAATCACAAACAAGCATTAAAAATAAACACTTTTTACAAAATAACAAACAGATTACAAAGTCAATCTAAAACAGCTAAAGTTGACTACTTTTAACTTTTTTTTACAAAATTTTCTCGGGAGCCAAACAGAAAGATTTTCTCACCTGAAAACATCCCAGCAACTTTCAAGTCCAGGAACTGGCGGAGGAAAGCCATCTTTAGCAAAAAGACTACGGTACACAGGACCCGTCGATGGCTTTCCATCTTTAGCTTCCTTAGCTTTCTCTACTTCAATCAAGTACTTCCTTTGCGCCATTCGATCGATCACGGTTTCTTCTCTCTAAACGTATATTCTACGTGTTTGTGCAAGTATGCGAAAGAACGAATGTGGCTGTAGATTTTGAGAGAGATTTTATATTTGATTTTGTAAGGTAGGTGGCTATAGGTGACCAAAGAGAAGAGAGGAGAATTAAAGAATTAAATGATTAAATAAATAAATAATTTTCGTTGGGTTTGAATCAGAAAATTTATTTTATTTATCTTTTTGGGGTGTGAAGGAGAGAGTTGGGAAAAAATGACAGAAAAAAGGGCCAAGGACTAGTTTGTCTGAGTTGTCAGAGCGGACAGAGTTCGAGAGTACAATAATTAGGTTTTAGTTTTGTTTCAATTTTAGGTTTTTTTTTTTTTTTTTCAAAATGCATCTAATTGGATAATCATCAGTTCACTTTAGATGAATTTATCTAATAAATCAGTGGATCTGTTTGTATTCAAAAAAATCTATGGGCCTAATTTCAAAATTTATACTAATGCCTAAAAAATGTATGAGATTAATTTCAAAATCTAAACTAAGGATCTATCTTATGTATAAATACATTTTTTTTTCAATAAAAGATAGCTGCCATTTATATATATATACCAAAAATAATTTATATAAATTATCATATTGATATGAACGTATCGTAGTATTATAGAACTCCTATCATTTAGTTCAACTATTACAATTGAAATTCAACAACAATAAAAGAAAAGAAAAAAATGGATGCATAAAAGGAGTTTATTTTAGAGTTTAATTGCTGTGACTGTTTGCTAATTTTCATAATAAAAATAAAATAGGAATGGGAAAGTGCCCGACCCGTGGGTTAAGCAAGGCTTTAGAAGACGCGTCGAAAGTAAAGTCTGGACCACTGCATGCAATTCCAAGGTCGGTAGTACGGAATTTTTCAATAAATATAGTGCTTGTATTTTCCAATTTTTTGCAGCTTCAGCCTTGAGGATCGGAGACGAAATCCCTTTCTCTCAAAAAGGAAAAGGGTAAGAAAGAAAAATTCCGCGTGGAGGAAACTCAAAACTTACTAAATGGACAATGTGTGATGTTGGTTGAACCAAATCCATTTACTAAGGCTTAAGTAAACCTACAAAAAGTCATTAACACCCTATGCTAAATAAGACTTGATCTCCTTTTTTTTTTCCTAATGATAAGTAGAGTACAAATTTGTTTGAATTCAATATTATTTTCTTTCTTTACCTTGAAGCTTGGCGTACTATATTAGGTTTTTCCTTTCTTTGAAGATTCTAATCACCACATTGTACAGCCCTAATCTTCATTTAGTTAGTAGTTTCTATGAAGGTTTTTACAAGATCTCATTGAGAACTTCTGTTCCGCTGGCTTGACATCAATGGATTCATGCAGTTCGCATTCTCTGGTTGTCTGGTTTGTGGGCAGTCATTGTATTGCTAATACAGTTGTGAAGCTCAAGTTTTGATGTTCTTGCTAGCTTAAAAAAAAATTAAATAGTCCATGACTTGAAATTTAAATTGCTGTTCAAATTCTTATTCCATAAAAGAATTTTCTATCTTAAATTTTGGCAATAATAAATTTAAGCTAAAAAGGCTTAATTTTGCCTTTTCCTATAATTGTTGATTTCTTTTACAATCTAGGTTTATTTTTGTATATGTTTGATTTTTTTATAAAATTAATTCAGTAATTGAGCTGATTTTTATTATGTACTAATCTATACTATTTTATTATTATTATTATTTTGACATCGGTCTAAGCTACACAACAAAAGCATTGAACTAAGAATGGATTTAACTCAACACAAGGTCTTTGATCGTACGGATGAACATAAGTTTTTTGACAAAACCGAGTGTCCATATCTTTTTTGTGATGCTTTAGGAAGATTGATTTAGAGAGCTCAAAACGAGTACGTTAAAAAAAGATCCAATCGTTACTTCGTATAGCATTTGCTAGCAAGTTGAACAGTTTACTCCAAAGAAACTAAATTTTTCAAGTTTAGGGTCATTTTCTTTTACTATAACTACCAACCTCACATCATTTTAAGAGAATAAAAAATTTTAAAATTCAAAACTTTTGATCTCTAGCAAAATCTTTAAACCCTTTCTCCCAAAACTTTATTACTCACAAACCAAACAACACCTAAATCTCCACTTGATTGGACTTTTACTACTCATTTGTCGGCCACTTGACTTATGCCTTACTAGCACTATCTCGCTTCTCCTCCTATGCCTCTTGCTATTTACATTCTTTCTACTTGATTGGTTAACCGTTGTTTTCATGAGTTATAACACTAACTCTTTATATCTTGACTAGTCTATTCACCGATCATGTGATCAATTCTTAAGAATCACCCCCACATATTTTAGCAACTCCACTAGGGAGTTAGTGATTGCGAAGAACAATAGTCCACTTTCAAAATAATCAAGAAGAACAACAATCCCGTTATTAACTCAACCGCCTACAACAATGATAACACCTTGCATGATCCTAATGATAATGCCGATAATGCCAACCTACTTAACATTGAAATGTCAACAATCATCCAAACTCTCAAATTTGTAATGGCGACTTGCCAGCACTACCAAGAGGTTACTGTCATGATTCGTTGCTTAGGCCCTTGTCATGTTTGTTCTACATTTAGGTTTCAAGCCATGACAAAAGTTTTGAAAGTTTTTTAGGAAGCTCAGCTTAGACTATAATGAGAACAATAACAAATGTTCAAAGTCTTTCAAGAGAAGTATGTTATATTTTCCCAAACCCTCAATAACATCTCATAACTACTTTTCACATGTGGAATCTTTCGGACTATTGTCCCTTAAATTATGACACCGTCACTGTTAATGTTAATGATCATCCAATACCACATGTTCAACTGGATGATATAAAAGACATTCCCCTGCTAAACACTCATCGTGCGGTTGTAAATAACCACCATCCACTTCATTATATTACTATTTCTAGTTATCAACATCATTATCTTACTAAGAATAAATTAGAAAAGTTTCTTAAATGAAAGTTGGCAAAATCTACTAGTGAGTTTGATCTCAAATTTTTCTATTCAACTCACATCACCATGAATCCCTATCCAAAGAACTATGTAAGTCCCGAATTTAAATTTTTCAATGGAAAACAAGATGACACCAATGATCATCTCTTGAAGTTTGTGAAAACCCTAGGCGTTTATGGCTTGGATGATGATTAAAGCTAAATGAATTTTCTAAATCTTTGATTGAGAAAACATATGCTTAGTATTTAAATTTGGCTCCTAACTCTGCCTAAACATGAGCAACCATATATAAGCTATTTACAAAGAAAATTTTCTCCACCCATAAAAAGGTGACCATGTTTAACTTAGGAAGAGAATGTTAAAGTTTCGGAGAAAATTTATTGGATTACATCGAGCGATTTAGAGATTGTATCCTAGACATCTAAGAAAGTTTTGATGAGAAAGAAGCTATCAAACTATGTATCCAAAGTATGTACGAGAGAATATAGGATACATCTTGAGAATTTATATTTGATTACTTTTTCTACCTTAGTGGAAAGTGTTCACCAAACTAGTACCTCCATTATCATTTGTAGAAGGAATAATTCACCTTTATTGTTACTTGGACCAAAAGAGGTCATTTAGTAAATGCTATCTAACTAGTTGAACGACCTAATAGAAAAACAAAAGAAGTGATCTGTAGAACTAAATCTACCATTACATTTTTATTGCACTATAGACTTGGTATATACTCTATGAGACTAATGGATGGCTAATCAAGTTGTTATTCTTCCGTAGGTAAAAAACTTTCATCTTAATAAGATAAAAAAATCCCAAGTATTGTCGATATCATAGATACGTAGGGCATTCGATAAAAAACTATCTAAACTTGAGATTTTTATTTCATGACAAGCTAAAGAAAAGAGAGATTGTTTTTTTATAATAAAGATGGTGTCAATAAAAAAATCTCCCGCCACAACACCAACATCACCATAACGGCTAAGTCAAATGACATTTTTCCCGACTCATTTGAGTTAGGAGAAGAAGAGTTCGACTTGTATGTTTACTCGGTTGCTTTTATCCACATCGGTTGTATATTTTTTGCTAAGACTCCTAATTTTCACTAATAAACTTATTCTTGACTCTTGTAATTCTTGGGTATTCCTTTCTAATAAGACAAAAACAAAAACAAGTTTTATTGAAGATTGGTTTCATCTTATGGTTAAATATTATTCAGTATTTATAGTTAAAAAAATATATTTACTTAGCACTTCAATAACTATCTGTCTAATATAACAAAAGATTGACAAGTGATAATGTGAATGGAGTGAAAAATTATAGAGGAGCTAAAGAGCGCTCAATAACTAATTATCTCTCTAATTATTTGCTTAAAATAATAATGTTCAAGATCCTAACAAACCAAAAAAAAAAAGATCTATATATTTATTATTCTTAAGAATCCTATATAATAAAATCATCACCGTTGTCAAACATGAATTTTTTATTAATGATTCTCTTCACTCGAGGCTACCATCATGTCAAATCTTGACCAATATGGAAGGAAAAAAAAGAAGAAAAAGAAAGGTCAACATACATAGCCATTTTTATGGCAAAAGATTGACAAGTGATAATGTGAATGTTATGGAATTTAAATGACTATCCGTCCGATAAGTAAGCTCTTTACTTACCTAAATTTTTGGCAAAGAACTAGCAGGTGACTGAACGTTTAGCATGAGACTTAGGGGAATACTTGTTAATTAAGTAAATTCTTCATTTATACTTATCAAAATTTTGATTCCATTACCACAAAAAGGGATGGCCTTAATAAATTTGGCCCTTTTTTTCAAGAAAATAAACAACTTTGGCATGGCTAGTCAATGACCAAAATGGAGTTACAAGTTCATATTTGAGTGGTTGATCGGGGACCAAAATGAACTAGTAAGTTCAAATTAAAGTGGTTGTTAAAAGACTGAAGTAAAGTGGAAGTTCAAATTAGAGTGATATTAAAACCCGTTTTTACCCATTAACAAAA